GTGAATCGTTCCAAAGGCTGAGCCAGGGTCAATATGGGGTCCTGGATTGGGGTCAGCAGCGGCTGGACGTAGCCTTAATATATGTGGATGAGTGGGACAACAATCAGCAATCTTTTCTAAAGTAGAGTTTCTGGTTGGCCAGCTCCATGTCAGTTTCATGTGTTCATTCATAATGACACTGGTGCTATTTTTTTAAATAAAAATCTATATGAAATGTTATATTTAAATCTATATTTCATCACAAAACAACTATTTAAATATATATTAATCTAGGTCTATGCATTTCTAAAGTTTATTCTAAAATGTACGTTTCTAAGCACTTTGCTGACTTTTTGAGCTGAGAACAGCGGTAAAATTGAGAGAGGTGCATAATCTGAAGGATTTGATCCATGAATTGATCCTTGATGTGCAGATTAGATCAGTTCACTTAAAAAATTGAACCAAATGAAATTCCCCAGCATCGCAGCAGCAAAAGCCATTTGGATAAACAACTTCATCACAGCAACTGCTCCAGTACTTTATTTCATCTTTCTCAGGTATCTCTATCAATTATTTGCTTATTTGTTTATTTAACATTTATTCTGCCTGTCCATGACAAGAAACAAAAGGTGACTTAAATGTGAAATCCATATCATAGCCAATCTAAACAACAAACAGTGTCCCTAAAAAGTTATGCCATTTAAAAAACCACAAGACTGGGCAACTGTGTAAAATTTCTAACAAATATACAAATGCAACTCTAAGTTTGGCAAGATAGAATGAAGCAAGTGATACCAACATTGTCCCTCCTTATCCATGTGGTTCTTCTTTGTGCTTTTTTCCAGATGCAGAACAAGTTACTTTTTTCCATACTAAAGTTAGTTGCAGTTTTCTGGATGAAGAGTCAGTGATGTTAATATCGGTCTACAATTACATGAGTGGGATTAAGTGGGTTCAATTGCAATGTGAAATCCTTCAGTAGTTCTAAAATTATCTTGGAAAATAGCCCATAAAGTATCTGGTGCTACTTATGAACAATTGCATACAAAACCCTACAAATGACGAATATTTGATTCTGCTCACAGACAGTTGAATGGCAGATAATAGTGAAGTGGTTTAAAGAATTTGGGATTGACTGACAGAAAAAGACTGGTGCTCATGGTTTTCCGACTGCTACAGAACTTCCTTGTAAAACCAAAGTATGCTTTCTATTGGGATTATGAAGATAGCGTCCATGTTCTTTAGGCAAGCTGGATATACAAAAACAAACAAACAAAATAAATGCTTTGCACATCATTATTAGGAAGATATGCACTTTTACATTCACTGCAACCCCTATTTGATCATAAATATTTTTTCAGCATCCTGTTCTCACATTGGTCAATAAGATGCCTGTAGGAAACCAGAGAGAAGAAGATGAGCACAAGACTACTCTTCTCACCCGAGGTTTCCAGCTGGTTGTATCAATAGCCCTTTCCTGCATGAATTCATCTAATTCCCTTTTAAAGCTATCCAAGTTGGTATCCATACTTCTCAAAGTGTTTGGGGGGATGTCTGGAAATAAAGTACTTAAATACAGACATGAAATGAAGTTGCCTGATTTCTAATTCAATTCTAATGCATAAGGTTGGGTAATGATTCCTTGCAGTTTATTACATTCAGAAACCTAATTATGGGTACACTGATCTCATACCCCCCAACACAACGCAGCGAAGAACTGGGATGCTGTCTTCTGGGGCTGCATTCCTGCATGAGTCACATGATCCATGCAAAATCATGGCCCTGAAAATTGCACAAGAGCACAGGGCCCCAAATGGCTGCCATGCTCTTGCGGGGGCAGGGGGAATGGGATGTTCTGGCTTTCACAGAACAATTGTGGGATACGTGATCTTAGATCCTGTGGTAGGATATGCTTATAAATAGTTTTATTTCCATTTCATTTACTGGGTTGTCTTACATAGATAAACCTGCTTAAGGGTATAATAATTATATGTGTCTGTAATTTTAGTAGTAACGTAAAAATAGAATAGATTTTAATTGAAAACTGAGTCATTTCATGTTTGAATGCTATGTTTGTAGTCTGGACTATTATTGTACACTGCAAAAATAATGGGCAAATGAGCATTTTTATTAGGTCAGCAAAATCCTCATTCAAATTGTGAACTATTTATTGTACATAGGTAATATGCAATCTGTTATTTTGATCTTAAAAATATCCTATTCAAGATGCAATTTTAATAAATTCTTGATTGCTAATTTATACACTTTATGCTTCATTTGCATAAATTTATCTTTTGTAAGCTAATTTGGTTTCTGAATAAAATTAATCATAATTAACGTTTAGTATTTTGTTATGATTACTTAAATAACATATTAAAGCCACAACTGTGGTTTCAAATCAACTGCTAATCCATTAAAATTGAAGGAGGGCTCATTTCAATTTGAGGCATACTTTTCAATGTGCTCTTTATTGGTGTATATTACTGGTGTATATCCTCTAACAATAAAAATATTTTTATGCTGCTATTTCATTTTTAAAAAACCCAAAAAGGGGTTTACAACAAAGAGACACAAGCCATACAGTAAAAGCCCTACAGTAAAAACCATACAAAAAGTTTTAAATATATATATATATCAGTTAAGCATTCTGGAAAGATGTATTCTTAATTGCCTACATAGATCTGGTGGAATAGAAGTTTTCAGCAGGCAGTTAAAAGTTGAAACAGATGGCACCTGGTGCATCTCTTTTGGGAGCATCACACAGGGCAGATGACACTAAAGGCTTGATTACTTATTGTTATAAAGAGAGCTTCACCAACTCAGGGAAAGGCCAACAGTGTTCCTCCACATTATCTCAGTGATTGCATAGGATACAAGTGTTCTTGCAATTCCTGAGATACCCTGGACCTAAAGCTATAAGGGCTTTGTAAATTAATACAAGGGCATTGAACCTAGTAGATGGGCAGCCAGTGCAACTGCTTTAACAACGGTGTCACAAATGTTCTGAGCCAGATACCACCACCAGCCTCCTGGCCACCACATTCTGTACCAGCTGAAGCTTCTGAAGTAAGCCCAAGGGCAGCCACACATAGAGTGCATTACAGCAATCTAGACTTGAGGTTAGCAACACATGGACAACTATGGCCAGACTATCCCTGTCTAAGAATACCCATAGCTGGTGAACCAGATGAAGTCAGTAAAAGGCATTCCTAGTCACAGGAGACACTTACGCCTCAAGTGACAAACATGTATCCAGGAGTACTCCCAAACTGTGTACTTGTTCCTTTAGGGGAAGTGCAATCCCATCCAAAATAAGCAACTAGCCTATTTCCTGCACATGGGAACCCTCCACCCCCAAAGCCTCCATCTTCCCAGGATTCAAGCACAGTTTATTGGCCTTCATTCAGATCACCACTGCATTCAAACACTGATCCAGAACTTTCACAACTTCCTTGATTCAGTTGTTATGGAGAAATAGAACTCTGAGTCATCAGCATATCAGTGACAACATGGTCCAAAACTCCTAATGACTACTCCTAGATGCTTCACATATATGTTAAATAGCTCTCAGGAGAGGATGGTAGCCTGTACAACCCCATAGCACAAGTGTCAGTGAGCCAAAGAACACTCTCCCAGCGCCACTTTCAAGCTATAAAAGGAACCACAGTCCCTCTGGTACCTATTACACTAAGTTGGACCAACACGATACCATAGGCGAGGGCATCAAAGGCTGCTGAGAGATCATGCAGAAGTAACAGGGTTGCAATCCCCGTCTCTTTCGAGATTAAGGTCATCCATCAGGTGACCCAGTTTGATTCAGAATGTCGCATGTTGATAATCCAGTAAACTCTTTCTTCTTTGCACATGCCTTTTCAGATTATTAAGGTAAAGGTAAAGGGACCCCTGACCATTAGGTTCAGTCGTGACCGACTCTGGGGTTACGGCGCTCATCTCGCTTTATTGGCCGAGGGAGCTTCCGGGTCATGTGGCCAGCATGACTAAGCCACTTCTGGTGAACTAGAGCAGTGCACGGAAACGCCGTTTACCTTCCCGCCGGAGCAGTACCTATTTATCTACTTGCACTTTGACGTGCTTTCAAACTGCTAGGTTGGCAGGAGCTGGGACCGAGCAATGGGAGCTCACCCTGTCGTGGGGATTCGAACCGCCGACCTTCTGATCAGCAAGTCCTAGGCTCTGTGGTTTAACCCACAGCGCCACCCATGTCCCTTTCAGATTATTAATTACCATTTAAGAATTCACTAGCATTTTGAAAGTGCATGTATGTGTGTGTCAATGTGCGTGCGCACAGCACACACTGAACTCAACGATATACTGTATGAAGACTCCCCAGCTTTAATCTTTTAAATGAAAATCAATAATAATGTGTCAAGAGTGGCTGTGCAACTGACTTTGATGAGCATAGCTGACTTCTCCTGGTGATTCTCCTGGTTCCACGGGTAATACAGATGGAAGTTTTTGAAAAATAAATAAATAAATAAAGAGAAGAGCAGAATAACAGCAAGGATTATTTTAGTGCTTTAGCAGAACTGGAGTGTTCAGTGGCAGCTTCAGGCACATGCAGACCTATCAACTACAAGAGATTTCTGACAATAATCCTCTTTCATGTTGTTTTCAGTGGTAATGTTAGCTTTATAAGCATTAGAACTTTACCTTGAAGCTATGGAGCTTCTCTGCAGTCTAAACAAATGGGGGGGGGGGGAATAGGACAATGTTCAAACACCTCTCTCTTGCTCACTCCCACTTCTGCCTTTATGTTGTTACAAAGACTGAAATGGAGGACCCATTGACATTTAAGTGGTGAGCCGAGGCTAAAGTTAAAAGCTCATCCAAACATATGGCAACCTTCCATCTGGAGTCACTGCATACTGCATGAATAGATGACCTAGGGGCTCATGAAGATGAGCAGATCCTTGTGGATGGAACCATATAAAGGTTTGATCCAGTGTGCTCATGCTTACGTACACGGATTCATTTTTTATTGTGCTTTATTCAATTTTTTTGTAACATCATCATGATTACTAGTAGTAGGACTACTACATGGGTCCATGAGACTGGGAAAGTATGCTAAGGGACTGGGTCGCAATCCATCAATGAAAAATAAATGATGTTTCTTTTCCAGGGAGTCTTCTCTTCTCAAGAGGTGGCCAAAGTATTGGAGCCTCAGCTTCAGGATCTGTCCTTTCAGTGAGCACTCAGGGCTGATAATATTATTTGGGCAGAAGTGGCTTGCCAGGTAGGACAGGGCCACTACTCTAGTTTTGCAGCAGAAAAGTCACTGAGGCAGGTAGTAGTGGGGAGGTCAGCACATTGCAAGGACATTGGTGGAGTCAATATGGCACTCTGGCTGATGTGTCTGTACTGTATCAGCTTCTCTATCCCCTTCTCCTCTTCCTCCTAGTAAACAACAGCAACTCACTTGCTGGGAAGCTAGTGGAAATAGCTGCTTGGGTTTTTATGAGGATGCCAAGGTATTCTATAAAGTGCTGATAAGTTCTTTGTAGCAGTTCAACCAATCAGAAGCCAATGTCAGAGAGATCTAGGGCAGCAGCAAGAGTCTTGGGCTGCCGCTGGAAGCCCTGATCAGATGGATCCTAGGGAGAGGTAGGCCAGGTCACACAGGAACTAGGCAAGCAGGAGGAAGTGTGGAATCACTGGCAAGATATAGGAACAAATAATCCAGCAGCACAAGAGAAGCAAAGGTGCATTAGAAGTAGTTTGGAATGAGAAGAAGCCAGAGGAATAAGCTCAAGTAGAGAAGGAAAATGAGAATAGCCCAAACTGAACCATGGTTACATATTAATTTGAACCTACAGCCAAATGATTGACTATAGACCACTGTTCCAGATGCCCACATTGTTCTCCAAAAGAAAATGAATTATTTACCATCATTCTCATATCTCCTCTTCCTGTATAATAATTTTGCTAAGCTGCATATTGCAAAGTATTTTAATTTTTATTTGCAAATCCTTTTCACCAAGCCATTAATCATTTTTGCTTTCTTCCTTCAACTCACTCTAGTTTGTCATCATCTTTCTGGTAGCGTGAACACTTGAAAGCAAAGGGTTAGTTTACTGCCATCTTTAACTCTATCTTAGCTCTTGTTTTCCAGAAGTATTTGTGACACTTTAATTAATCTTTTTCTAACACCACAGTGTTTATTTCCCCCCTGGAAAAATATATAATGAAATATTGCCAATCTTTAGTATTTCTACTGCATATGTGGCTTATGATTCTACAGCTTTGAATATGTTTGAAATAAAAGTGGTGCAAGTATTTGGACCCTCTTGACCTGGGGGTCCCCAGTCATGGTTAACCCAATCTGGGCCCATTTGGGGCCCACTTATCCCACTGAGGACCATTTGGGGTAGGTCTAATGTTTGATTAGGGTTGATTACTTAAATAAGAAGCTATGGAGATCTTTAGAGCAGTAACTAAATTGGTAACCATTTTCTCATGGCTACTTTCTACACATAGTTTTAATAGTTTAGCTAGCAGAATTATTAAAGGAACAGCAGACAGTTTATACAAAACTCAAATTATCTGTTAAAATTGCATATAATACCTTACAGAAAACAATAAACTAAAAAATACTTATGACCAGTATGTGCTGTTTCTGCAAGAAGTGTGTATGTTTCATGATGAGCAATTGGTCTGACATGCAAACCTCATTAAGTGTAAATGCAGTGTTCATTATTAATGCATTCAGCAGTCCTATGAGAGCCTGCTAAATAATTTTTATTGCAGATGCCATAAAATTGTATCACTTTTTGTGCCCTGCTTCTTAAAATTATACAAAACAAAACTAACAGTGCTGTTGTTATTAACTGAATTTCTGTGTGGAAGTGGAAAATTCAAAAGCATATGGGATATCTATGTAAGGGGGGGCAGTGAATTATTTGTGAATCAAAATAAAAAGTCAATGAAATGCTAATTAAAATATTAATGATAAATAAGTAATTCTGCTTCAACTATATATTTTGGGATTGATTACAGCTGCATTATGACATTAGGATGCTACTAGAAATGCAAACAAGTTGGACACTTGTAACATCATAGTAATGTAATAGGGACTTAATTTTCACAGAGTCCCACTCTTTGAACGGCATCTCTTTAAAGGTAGCTAGAAAGATAAATGCACATTCAGATTAAAAGCTGAAAGCTGATGTTACTTGTTGACAGCCCTTTAAAACACAATCACTTTCAATCCTTTCTTAGCAAACATTCTCCATCCCAATGACTGCTTTATCTCTCTCATTCCTGATAACGCACCAGCAGCCTGTTTATTCAGTGTCAGAAAGTCCAAGGTTTTGCTGTAAAATTATGAAGATCGATTGTCATTGAGCGGTACAGAGAAACTATGATTGTCTCATGTATATGATTGCCAGCAGCAAAGTAATTACATAGACAAATAATAGTGTTTTCGACTATATATAATTTTGTTTGATATTTTTCTGCCCTGTTATCAAGAACAATATGTTGTTGTTTAGACGAGGGCTTTTCAACTCCATTGCCAGTGTTATTTATTGGCATTATAAACAAAGATGTTAAAAACAGCTTAGAAGCAATTTTGGGGGTAATAAACATGGAGTGCTGTATAGCAGTGTTCTTTTTTCAGGAGGCAGGGGAAAGAGATTATAGCAACTTGATAAAATGGGTCTAAGAACCTGATAGAAAACTGTAGAATATATTTGTCTATAGGATACTGAGCTTTCTGAATATGACTTTGCAAAGAGTAGCCAATGATGCCCAGTATCAAAGATGTGCATTTTCTTTGAGATAACAAACCAAATATTCTCTTCTTTTCCATTGATGTGGGTCTGATTTAATGCCTTTTGCAAGGCCAGGGATCAAACTAATGATAAATAAACCAATTCTGTAATATGAACATAATTGAGTTAAATGGGAGTTCCAGATAAGTAACCTCAATTTCACAACATACATATAAAGACTCTTATTACTTCATATCTTCCTAGAAAATATATTCCCAACTTTGTAAAGTTGGTGTCCCCCTTATTTATTTATTTACTGCCCTTTATTCATAGATCTCAGGGTGGTTCACATATGTGGATAAAATAGGTACAATAGCAGTAGGACAGAACTGGGGAAACTCCCCACTGGGGTAGAAATCATATATCAAACAGATGGAAAGCTCTTCAATCTTAGCAGACTGAAAGCAAAAAGGAAGGTTACCATAACTTCCGTCATAGAGCTTCAGTATGCTGATGACAAGGTAGTGTGTGCACGCTCAGAGGATGACCTCCAAACCATCCTAAATATCTTCATAGCTGTCAACATTTTCCTTTTTTAAAGGGAAATTCCCTTATTCCAAATAGAATTCCTCGCAAGAAAAGGGAAAAGTTAACAGCTATGAATATCTTCACAGAAGATTACGAAAAGCTTGGCCTGTCACTCAACATCCAAAAAACCAAAGTGTTGCACCAACAAGTACAAAATAACCCCTCTGCAGTGCAACAAATCCAACTCAATGGTGTAACATTGGAAAACGTCGATCACTTCTCTACCTAGGCAGTTACCTTTCCACAAGGGTCAACACTGATGCCAAAATCCAGCATCACCTAAGCTCTGCGAGTGCAGCTTTCTCCCAATTGAAGTGCAGAGTGTTTAAGGACCGGGACATTTGCAGGGAAACAAAAATGCTTGTTTACAAAGCTATTGTACTACCAACCTTACTGTATGCTTGTGAAACATGGACCACTTACAAATGCCATCTCCGTCTCAAAAGATTCCATCAACGGTGTCTCTGAAAAATCTTATACATCACTTGGAAAGACAGGTGAACTAATATCAGTGTACTGGATGAAGCAAATATCACCAGTGTTGAAGCAATGATTCTTCAACATCAACTTCGCTAGACTGGTCATGTTGTGTGGAAGCCTGATGATCGTCTTCCAAAGCAACTACTCTATTCTGAACTTAAAAATGGAAAGCGTAATGCTGGCGGTCAACAAAAGAGGTTTAAAGACTGTCTCAAGGAAAATCTTTAAAAAGGCAGTATAAACACAGACAACTGGGAAACACTGACCTGTGAGAGCTCCAGTTGGAAAACAGCCTTTACCAAAGGTTTCATGGACTTTGAAGACACTTAAACTCAGAACGCAAGGGAGAAACATGCTAAGAGGAAGGCATGCTTGGCAAATCCACACCATGATCAACTCCCACCTGGCAACCAATGTCCCCATTGTGGAAGGATGTGTGGGTCCAGAATTGACATCCACAGTCACTTGCAGACTCATTGTTAAAACTGTGTTTATGGAAGACATCTTACTCGACTATGAGTGATCGCCAAAGAAGAAGAAGAGACATGTGAGAGAATTTCCAAAACAGGGAATTCTTTTTTTAAAAATTGAGACATTGTCATTGAGGCATTCATAATTTGGTATACAGTATACTACCTCAAATAAACATTTTGCATTGTGTGAAAAATTTATTCAGTAAACATTGCTCAGTTCTGTCTAAACATTTTAGCTTCTGCCTTCCTTCTTTCACTCTAAGTAGCTTTTGTATTTGTACATTTTTACTTCCCATTCTGTTATGAGTGGAATGTGAGTTATTTTCTAATAGCTGCATCACAATATCTTACTGTCAATAGTAATAAAGGACATTAGTTCTCATTGCTGTACAGGTACTTGTTATTATTGGTTAATAGTATTCATTACTCTCTCACCTTTTTACAAACTCTCCACATATCTAGCGTCATGCCCTACTTTTCCTGAATTTATCATTTGAGTTTCCATTTATTTTGTGAAAGACTTAACATTGAAACATTGAAATGTACATCACCATCAGGTTTGGGATGTACCGTATTTTTTGCTCTATGACTCTTTTTTTTTTAAATGATATTTATTAAGAATTTTAAGATTACATAAAAGTCAAAGAGAAAAAGAAGGAAAAAAAAGGAAAAAACAAACCACAATCAAACAATACAAGTCGATAAAAATCAAAAGCAAAAAGCAAAAAACAAAACACATAACACATCAAAATCAAAAAACAAAAATAAACCACAAAAGTTTAAAAACAGATCCAATATTCCCAAATCCTTAACTGTCATTACCTTATTTCATCGACCTCCTCACCCCTCCCTTTTTTTGTATTCTAGTTATTGATTATCACAGCAAATCCTTCCCATTTTTCATAATATTCCGTCATTAAATTACCTTAATCTATTTTAACCTTATCTTACTATAAAAAACCCTAAAACTTAAAACTTGAGTCTTATCTATACCAATTTCTCATAACCATGACATATTCTTGCATAGTTCTTTTTAACATTTCTGCTAAAGCCAAATAATTTCGTTCCAACATTTTTAAAATACTCATTAATTTTAGAAAACATTCCTAAATAGAATTTTTGAAACTTTCTCCAATCTTCATCCAACGTCTCTTCCTCCTGGTCTCGGGTTTTGTCAGTCCTTTCTATCCCATCCATCTAGTTCATTAACCTGGTAACCTTATGTCCGAGGCCCATAAGTCTCTTCCATGTCCCTTCCGCAGATCTTCTTCATATTTATACCTGTACTTTACTTTGTCTTCTGCTCCTTTCACTCGTGGAGACTCCAGCTTGACAGTATTTTTGTCCCTTCTCGACAGATCAGCCCCTTTTCCATAGTCCACACTGAACTCCATATGGTATTTAAAAACATGTTTCAAGGTCCCTCCAAAATTGAGGACCCACACAACTCCAAACTCCTCCCGGCCCAATGCCAGACTTGAAAAGTCAAAACATCCCTGCATAGGGAGGTCTATCCAGCCCCCCATCTCCAAACCAACCAATACTCTATCTCTCCAAATCTGGCTTTTTCCAGGTTCATTCGTCAGGTCCAACCACTCATGTTCCTGCTGGGCCACGGTTCCCTCCATCTCTGTCTCCTGGGGTCCAGCCACAACCTCCTCCTTCATCTGATCTGTCAGAGCACATTCCTGAATTGATTCCTGAGTGGGTTCTATATAGATACCCACTACCTGTCCAAAATTTCTGATCGCAACAGTCATCAAATCCGTCTTCTCATGTAACTGTTCCAATAAAGCACTTGTTTTGCAGAAAGCACGCACCAGAGCCTCTGAGCACATTGTTATACAAGGTCAGAAGTCTATTCCCACGATCTTAATCTGTTGCAGCTGCGAAGCTCCCCAGTTCAAGTTTAATAACAGTTTCACAAGCTCCCTCTAGGGGAAGAACTTCTATTTGTATCCAACTCTTTTTTTTTTTTTAACAGCAGATCTAACAACAAAGTTTCCTTTTTCAGATATTTTGTCAATATTTGTTCCTTTAAAGTGCGAAAGAGGACAATGGAATCACTATGTTTCTCTTCTTTTAACTGTCTGTCAAAAACATTTGTCTATAGTCAATGAACTTCCCAAAAGCGTCTGTCCTGACACCCCGCTCCCAGGTTCAAGACGGTGGAAAATTACTTTTCTTACACTCTCTTCTGCAGGTTTAAGCAATCCGGAAAAAATCCCCCCCCCTTCTCCTGCTTCCGAAGGGGGTTCAGTAATTTTAGATGATGAAAGTTGATCCTTTACAAATGATTTTCTACACTCTAGTTTGCCATGTCTTTGCTTTAAGCTATCTACAAGAAACAGAAGGCTGACTTCCTGTTTAGAGCTTCCCGCCTTAGTGCCAAATTAAGAGGAATTTCTTAATCCAATTTTCCGTTCTACTCACAGATCGTTGTTTAAAGTCCAATTGTCCAAATTTGATCTGCTCACGGGTAGTTGTTTTTGTAGCCAAATTGTCCCAGGAAAAAGGTAGCGCTCTCCGGCAATGGCTGTGCGGCTTCGCTCCACGGAAGAAGCAGTTGACTCTCAGCACCGCGCCACTAACCCCTCTTCACTCTGGAGCCCGTAATTGGGTTCCTTTACGAATTGGGGGGGCGCTTCATCCGCCTGTGATTTTTTAAAGGGTCCCCGCTTCGCCGTAGCAGAACAGACCCGTTTCCCGTGGAGCCAGTCCCTCCGGATCAGAGGGAATCCGCCATTACCAATGGCGCCACCCCGGAAGTCCGCTCTATGACTCATTTTTTCCCTCCTAAAAAGTAAGGGGAAATGTGTGTGCATCTTATGGAGCGAATGCAGGCTGCACAGCTATCCCAGAAGCCAGAACAGCAAGAGGGATCCCTCTTGCTGTTCTGGCTTCTGGGATTCAGAATATTTTTTTTCTTGTTTTCCTCCTCCAAAAACTAGGTGCTTCTTATGGTCTGGTGCGTCTTATAGAGCAAAAAATACGGTACTTTTGGATACATATGCAATGTGAGTTCCAGAGAAAACCATGCTAAATGGATAGATAGCACATACGGTCAGATGTGCATCCAGTTTCATCCATCAACAGGAAGAAAGATGCTTTCACATCCAGATAGCCTTACTTGAATTGGTCAAAAGAAATTGGAATGGGAGCAGAGAGGAAAACTAAAAGGGTATACCCTTTTCCTTATTCTCATACTTATGACCTTCAGGGATGAGAGTAACACAAGACAGAGCAGGAAAATACTTCTATTTGCACTTCTTCCCTTTTTTATTTCAGAGTTTGGGATGTAATGAGGAAAAAGGTTAGATGAAACAAACATTTTTATGTGCTCATTCATCCTTTAAAATCTCTTTGCAGCCTGCTTTGGTCTTCACCATGCTGTATAACTTGGTGTTATCCACACACTTAGCTACCTCGCTGTTCACCCCATATCTCCACTTGATTTACAAATGAGTTTAAAATGTCAAAAAGCACCCAGCTCAATATATATCCTTGTATGACTCCACTCCTTACTTCCCTCTGCTGTGAAAACTGCCCATTTATACCTGCTTTCTGTTTCCTCTTTAACCAGTTACTGATCTATCAGAGTAAGCCTTACAGTAGCATTTTATGGGCAATCAGACTTCTGAACGGAATTGCTTGTTGTGAGTCAATCTTGTAATTATATTCATGGTCATGTGCAACCTGATGCAAGGTTTTATTCTAACATAAACATTTCCATCACTTTTCTCAGGCTTTCTTCCATTGGGCAATCCTGTAGTTGTATATTCAACTATGAGGTGAATTGTATAGCTCTCCATTGCTCCTCCAGAGACCTTTTTACATGCCACTCACACTGGAGGTTACAGGCCTCCTATTGTGATAATAGTCTCTATTTGACTCTACCTTGTTAAACTGAGAAGTCTCTTTTCTTTCGGGTGTATTACAGATTGCGAGAGAGCTTTGTTTTCTATGCTTTTGCAGCTGTGAATAAAGTTTAGAAAATATGCCAAAGGGGAAGTATCATGTTCCACATTTATAAGTACAGTATAAGCAGCCATAACATAATGGAACATGTTCAGTTTAACAGGTCTAAGGTTGTGTACATTCTGTGTTTTTAAGGCACATTCTTTTCTTTAAAGACTTCTGGGAATTGTAGTTTCTTAAGGATTCCTGAGAACTGTGCAAGGGATTAGAATGTGCTTTAACATCTGTACAGAGCTGTAGATCTAGTATGCCATTGCACTGTGATTGCCCTTCCCCTAAGACCATTATGAATTATATTGAATACCAGTGGGAGATCAACAGATAAGAAGAAGAGCCATCTGTCTATATTTCAAACGTATTATCTGGAATAGTAGGCAAATAAATGATTATGGTTTTGATCTCCAAGTTCTCCCTGCCTCCATTCTGGCTAATGCTAAGCATCATATGTAAGTGGCTGCGACTTAAGTAAAAGCAAATCAGCTGGGAGTTGTAAGAGGGAGAGGCTAGCTGGAGTAAGCGAGATATTAATGGATTTTATAGGTTTGTCACATTAGCTCAAGCACACTGAACATTTATCTTATTGACAACGACTTTCTGAGTAGAAGAACTAATTTATAAGAAGCCTGCATTTTCACTAAGTGTTTTGCCAGCCTGATGGTCAACAGCACATGCTGACCTTGCTGTTTGAGCTAGCAAAGAATTTGGAATTTCCCCTTCAATTGGGTTTGGTGATTCTCCATAGGTCCCCAAAGTGCAAGCCACCTGAGCAACCTCTCAGAGTCTGCAATCATTTTCTCATTACATTACAGAATGCCCATAAGGAAAAGTCACATGGTTAAAACAATGGAGGGAAGAGTTTTTCAACAGTGTTGTTTGTGAAGGGGCCCATTAGTGGTATTATGAAGGGGCAGTCAATTGTTAGTTATTTAGGATGTGATCCAGGACTTAGAGCTGCTTAGAGTAGACCTAATGCATTCAATGGACCTGAAGTCAGGCATGAAATTGGGTCTTGACTAACTTAAGTACCATTGATTTTATTGAGTTTTCTTTAAGTATCTTGAGTAAGAATCGTTCCAATCCTTAATTTATTACAGATGTGTTTTTATTCCCAGGGGATTTCCTTAAGTGACAAAATAAATTGCAAATCAATTTTCAGCACATTTCCAGCACATTATCAGCACATTCATATACATGTCTTGTCTACTCAAAAGTAAGTCCACTAACTTCAGTGAAGATTATCTCAGGTAAGTGCCTACAGAATAGCAACCGATGTGAATTATACAAAGGCTGTGTAAAAAAGCATTACTCTCCCCACTCCATCACCAAGTTATAATGAATTAAAAGAAATGTTCAAAAGTAACCGAGGTTGTGCAAAATCATTTGGGCAAAGAATTTCTTGAAGTTGAAAGAATGTCAATGAATGAAATGCAGTATTGCCCAACCATGGTTATCCTTATAAAAGGACATGCGTTCTTCTGAAACAAACATGACAGGAAATCCAAAACCCAAGGAAACTGGCAATACAAAGTTCTTTAGTAACAGAGGAGCACTCTGAGTATGTCTTTGAAGGGAAAGAAATAGTTGGAAAGCATGGTTTAGCAGATGTCTATGAATCAAGGGGTTATTAACCGTACAGGAATTAGAATGATTTGTCTGTTGTCATTTGGCAGAATACAATTTGATATAATATGCTGCAGTGCCTGGTGCAATAGTATGATTGAAGAAAAGACAAAAGGGAGAAAGGAGAATGAGTCATAATTAGTAGTTCATTGTTCTGCTCAATTGTAACATCTTTCAAAGTAAGACAGAACTTGAAATATGCAAATTGCTAAACTCAAAGACAACTAGTTGATCTTGTAGGAAACTATATTAGCTCTTCAGGATTTATTTAAGGTCCCATTATGTAGCTGAGATCTAAGTGCCATTTGAAACAATATTATAAACTACTGCTATTAATGGCATACTGCTAGGTGAGATGGAATGATTTTCCTTCCTAGCACTGATATTTATGATGGCACAAAGCAATTAACCCTTTCTGTTCAATGCATAAGATTGAAGCGGTTAATGGGGAATTTTACTGAAATCTTTAGTATATTTGTAAGAACCTGTGGTGCTGTGGGTTAAACCACAGAGCCTAGGACCTGCCGATCAGAAGGTTGGCAGTTCGAATCCCCGCAAAGGGGTGAGCTCCCATTGCTTGGTCCCTGCTCCTGCCAACCTAGCAGTTTGAAAGCAGTTCAAAGTGCAAGTAGATAAATAGGTACCGCTCTAGCGGGAAGGTAAACAGCATTTCCATGCGCCGCTCTGGTTCGCCAGAAGTGGCTTAAGTCATGCTGGCCACATGACCCGGAAGCTGTACGCCAGCTCCCTTGGCCAATAAAGCGAGATGAGCGCCGCAACCCCAGAGTCGGTCACGACTGAACCTAATGGT